AAGTTTGCTGAATATATCATTTCTTCTTCTCACAATGCCTGCCTTCTCCCACAAAGAGGTCACTTAGAATAAACATTTTATTAACTCTTTTTATCTCCAAGGCAATATTTGTACCAGTGGTTGAACCAATAATCTATATTTTTTTCTTGATAACAATATGTCAATCTAGTGGTTACCCATGGAGAAGGCTAGAAGGAGCATTCTTATGATTTTGGGCTTGGTTTCAGCAAGCTAGATTCTACATTTTTTTTCTACTTTTTTTTTGTTGTTTTTAGTGATGATTTTAAAAGGCTATACTAAAAAGATTCTAAAGTTGATGGGCATGAGAAAAACCTTCATCTTCCTTCTTCAATGTGAGTATGACTGGCAGTTGGTCCACATCCCTGTTGTCTTTAACAGCTTTGTGTGTAGGTGGTTTAACACACACAAGTCAGTTTCTCATGGCACCTGTGATCAACTGGTGATCAACTTAACACCAGCTGAATTAAATCAGAATGGTGTTGAACATAGATGATCTCTATGCTGAATGTTGCCAGCATGGAGAAGAAGAGCTAGGCATTGTGGGTTTGGTTCTCCTGTGGGAGCCCATCGTGGCTAGCCTTCCCAATATGAGTTCAGCCATTACCATCAGTGGAGCTCAGGACCTTGTTGGTGAGAGTGACTGTGGTTCACTTTGTGGGAGCTCTAGTGTTTGCATCAAACATCACTTCCTGGTTCTGAAGGGGAAGATGTGTGCTGTTTAATCTTCAGGAAAAGCTTTTCATTTTTGTTTTCTGGCATGTAGTTGATTGTTCTTATTGTTAGAGGAGCTTGGTACATTCGTGTCATTGAGGATGGCTGTGGTGATTTTCAGGGCAACCCTGGCCCTTGTTTAGACTGTGACTTCTGGGCTTCAGTGTAGAACCCTCAACCTACCAGCACAGCTCCTTCACTCTGCTGGCCTGGACTTCCTAGTTTCCATCACTGACCTTTGGGTATTCCCAGCACAGATGCTTAGAACAAACTGGCGTGAGTCCTTCTCATGGGCTCTAGACCTCCAGTTAGGTTCATGGGAGGCATTGTTACAGTCTCTGCGTTTTCATCTTGATTCATGCAGGACATTGCTGTGGGATCGAGGTCCTTGGCTGAATATTATGTGTCTTTAGTGTTGTGGACAATTTCCTTCACTTTCTTGTGTTTAACTCTGGGTGACCATTGTAAAATGATATTATAAATTCTGTGTCCTTTTTCTAATTGGTATCCTCACAACCTGTGACTATAATAGCATCTTAGTCTGTTTTGTTTTGCTATTAAAAATTCCTGAGGCTGGGTTATTATAAAGAACACAAATTTACTATCTGATATTTATTGAAGATGGAAAGTCTAAGACAAAGGAACCAACAGTATCTGGTTAGAGGCTTCCTGCAGCACCTATATATGGTCAAAAAAATAAAACTCAGAAAATTCAGTGTCCTGGTTACTTTTTTCTTGTTGGTAGGAAAAGATACTTGACACTCAAAATTAAAGAAAGAAAGATCTATTTAGTTCACAGTCTGTGGGGGTTACAGTCCATAATTTGCTGGTTCCAAGGCAGGATGGCATGGCACAAGGGGACATTTTAAGGAGGAAGAAGACAGCAAACCCAAAAAGAGAAAAATGGAGAAGAGCAAGCCTGTTTTCTTCCTTTATACTTTAAACAGATTTGCCCCTTGGGCAGATGTAGCACCCACACTATCTCCATGCCCACCTCTTGCACAGGCAGAGGATGCTTAAAAAGTACGGACCCTGGTGCCCTGCTAAATCACTTAGTTAAACTTGCGACTTTCTCAAACTGACACTGCAGGAAATCCTAGAGAGGTAAAGCTGTGTTTTTTATACACCAGGATGGAGAACTTTTGAGTTATTTAGTTAAGTTTCTCAACCTCTCAGGTTGACACAATGTATCAACCATAATAGTCTGAGAAAAAAGCTAGCTAGGTGCTTGAGGAAGATTCTTTGAAAAGGCCCTTAATCTTATTAACATGGTATCTGAGGCCACATGCCCTAGTCAGCTTTTTTATGGCCTCACTTTATAAAGCTAGCTCATTGGCAGCACTTAAATTTTGTAGAAGAAAAGTCCATTCCTCCAAGACTGGAAAAACTGACTTTCCATAATGCCAAAGACTAAAACTAGACTCTTGTCTATCACCATGAACTAAACTAAAATCAAATTTGATCAGACATCTAAATAGTAATAGAAGCATTAAATTTGCTGGAAGAGAGAACAGGCAGAACTTTTGAAGACACAGGTATAGGCAAAGACTTCATGAACAAAATCCTAATGGCACAGGAATTACTACAAAGAATCAACGACAAGGATCTCATCATACTGAAAAACTTTTGCACAGCAAAAGAAATCACCAACAGTCACAGTCAGTTACTCCTTCAACCAAGAAATAATATCCAGAATATATAAAGAACTAAAAAATGTCACTTCCCAAATTAAAAAACCTAGTGCATACATGGGTATCTGAAGTGAATAGACACTTCCCAGAAGTTGTACAAACAGCAAACAAATTTATGAAAAACTATTCAACAACACTGATCATTTGAGAAATGCAAACTAAAGCAATACTGAGATTCCATCTCGCTCCAGAAAGAGTGGCTATTATCAAGCACAAATAACAAATACTAAAGAAGTTGTGGGGGAAGTAAAACACCTTCCACTGCTGAAGGGAGTGTAGACTGGTGCAACCACTGTGGAAATCAGAGTGGAGATTTCTAAAAAATCTAGAAGTTTCATTTGACCCAGATATTCCCTTTCTGTGTATTTTCCCAGAAGAATTAAAAACTTTGTACCACAGTTATATATGTGTAGTAATGTTTATATAGCAGTTTGTAGTAACTAAGTCTTGGAAACAGTCCTTATACCAATAAACTGAGGAGTGAATAAAAAGATTTTTGTTTTGCATGGTGTACGACTCAGCCATAACCAAGGATAAACTTGAGACATTTATAGCTAGATAGATGGACTTTGAGACCATACTCAAGTGAAATGAATGGAAATATGGGGAAGAAGAAACAGAAAAAAAGAAAAAAATATAAAAGGGAAGCAAAACTTTGTAAGGAGAGGAAGAAGGGTTAAGAGGAGGGGAAGAGAATGGGAAAAAAATGGGGACTTAAGACATACTATATACAGGTACTTGTTCCCAATGTTGAGTATGATCATTATGTATATCTAAACTGTACTAATAAAGTTAATAAATATAAACAAATTTTTAGAAATTTATTCAAACCATAACACATGTGTGCTCTATTCTTCATCTGTTTCCCAGGCATAAAAGAGAGATAGGTGAGATAACTAACTTGCAAGTGCTTTGAAAGGTTCATGAAAATGTAAATGAATTATAATACAGATTAATATTAATAATAAGAGTTGAAAATGTGAAATAAAATTAAATATACATAAAATAATAAAATTCAACTCAAATCTGTAAGTCTTGAGGGTAAGAACATTTCGGAAAAAATTTTGGAACTCACTGTCAAAAGAAATATATGACTGCTCAAAAAATGAAAATTAATGATGAATTATCTGTTTAAATTTTCTTTTTACTATAAAATCTAATTAATTCATTTATATAATTTCTAGTTTCTGATAATTGGAAGAAGACTAGAACAGTTCTTTCCATGGAAACATAACTTTTACCTTGTAAATATTTCTAGGATTGTACTTTAGTCTGTTCAGGTTGCCATAAGAAAATGCTATACAATGAATGTCTTAACCAAAATTCATTTTTTTTAGAAGAGTCCAGGATTGGTGTCAACACTATAGATTTTGTGTTAGGATTCATCTTTTGGCTGTAGGTGATGGCCATTTTGTTCTGCTCTCTCATGGCTTCTTCTTTATGTGCTCAGAAAAGAAGTCCAAGCTTTCCGGAATCTTTTCAGAACACTAATCCTACGAGATCCATCTCCTTCACCTCCATATTAAGCCACAGTTGGGATTAAGGTTTTAACCTATGAATGGAGACACCCAATGCACCCGACTTTTAGTCCATGATGGGCTGCGGTAACAAAGTGCTATAAACCGGTTTGTTTAAACGATACAACACTAGCGTCTCACAATTTTGAAGTCTAGAAATCTGAGACCAAGGTACCAGTGGAATTTTTTTTTTCCTTCTGTGGCCTCTCTCTTCAGCTCATACATCGCCATCTCTGTTTCATCACATGAACATACCTGCATATATATGTGTATCTTAATTTTCAAATCAGGACACCAATTTTACTGCATTAGGGTTAAATATATATATTCAAACCATTTATGTCTTTAAAGACCCTATTTCCAAACACAGACCTATTCTGAGGTATTAGTATCTAAGAATTCAACATATAAATCTTTTGCAAGATAAATAATTCATCCCATAACATGTTCAAAACACTAAAGATTTAAAAAAGATTTAGATTTCTGTCATTTTAATCTGAAGGCTTGCTTTGGTCAACAACTGCTCAATGGCTACACTCTCAGTTCATGCAACTGCTAGGCAAAGCACATGCCTTTTTGTGTCCACCTAACTTTCACTCTGTATAGATATCCGAGAATAAAATTTTCAAGATTGTTCAATAATTCACATTAATCACTAATTCGCATGCCTGTTCTCTGGTTAGCTTAAATCAGTAAGCTGTTCTAAATTACATTCTCCACCCCCAACAGAGTGGCTTGCTTGCCCTTGAGAGTTCATTCAGTCAGACAGAAGCAAACCTGACTGGCAGAGTTCTAGCCTCGTTTGGTATTCAGAGTAGTCCCGCATCAGGCCAGAGTTATTAAAGTTGAGTTTTGACATTTCAAAGAACATTGGAAGATTTTGACCTCTTCTTCTGGAATTTGAAGGAGAAAGATACTAAAAAAATTGCTATACATCTTAGCTAATATAATCCCCCTCCAACTCACTAGAGAAAATTTTGGTTCTGCATCTGTAAAATAAGATTTGCTTACTTTCTAATTAAATGACAAAAATAAACAAAAACAATCTCTTCAATTTTAGCTTTCATGGTTGGGTTTTGTAGCCCAGGAACAACTTCACACACAAGGTCTCTGCAACTCACCTCTCGCCACCATCACCCACAATTAAGACTCATTAAGATTTTCCTCACTTCTATCTTCCAAGGACAAAAATAAGGTAGGCTATTACCATTTGTTTCATTCTAATAAGGAAACCCGTGGGGGTTCTATGCTGAGAATTTCAGAATTTCCTTTTTAAATCACAGAGCTGAGAAATAATGAGCTCTTAGCTTAATTTTCCTTTATCTTTGTTTGTAGGTATAAGGTGTTTATTCTCCTGTAGTTTTATATTCTTTTAGGCAAGTTCACTTACTTTCCTCTATAGATTTGATTAATTCGGTAGTTGCATTCTTCCATCAGGACTGGGGTAAATATACTGCCATTTCTTGGAAATCTCCAAATTGCCAGACTTCTGCATAGTAATCTGAGTGTGACTGAGAATGCAGACAGTGAGTGTGTGCATGTGTGTGTGTGTGTGTGTGTGTGTGTGTGTGTGTGAGAGTATGCATGACATTTTTTGTGAGAATTGTGCAGACACATACTTCACTATGAGTTCTGTTTTCTTTAAACACAAGCCAAGATTAAGGAACAAAATTAGTGTTTTAAGACATTCTCTCAACTCCTGTGCAACCTTAAGAAATCCTTCAATGATCTGACATTATAATTAATTCCATCTTCTATTCAACAGGCAATAAAAATTTTCAAAATATCCTGCTACTTTGAATGAATTGTCTCACTAATCTCAGAAGGATGAAACTCAATGCAGCATGCTCACCCTTAGGCCCCCTTTTAAATGTAATCCACAAAGGTATATAAGCATTCAAATATCTATAGCCACACACATAAATGCCTACTCACTTAGAATATAGATTCCCCTGCCTCTAGGGAGGCTCAATTAAATCTCTCCACCATAATTTTTCTTCTCATGAAATCCTAATAGCACTTCATTGCTTGTAGAACAGTTTTCTAAACCTTTGCCTTCTAATTTTCATATTCCTGAATCAATAAAATCTCCGTGCATGTATGTTATGAGAAGAAATACTAGGATTTCTGAAAATTATCTCTTTAAGTAAGGATTATCTATGCCCTTTTTTCCTGATTGTTCTATTTCTGAAAGGCACATGTTAAAAATCTATGTGATTATATTTATGGTAAAACAATATTTTCCTTAAATTTTACAGATATTTGCTTTAACTGTGTTACATAATTTGAAATTTATTGTTGGGTTTTCTGCTAATTTCTTTATCCTCTTTTTATGATAATTCTCCATTGTGCTGTTTTTCTTACAATTTCTTCCAAATTCTCTAGGTCTTTATTCTTCAAAGATGCATTCTGAGTAAAGTTGTTAGTTCTAACTTTCCTTGTTCTAACCATAATTTCTTTTGCCTCAACTAGTACAAGAATTTATGGAGTTGGAGAACACCGAACAGCAGATTCTGAGAAGTAAGCCTTCAGAAATCTGTGGATTCCAGTGGACAGGGCTCCATTAGACCACGACAAATATAAAAGAATTGTCTTTTTTTTTTTTTTTTTTTAAGTGGGAGAATAGAGACCTCAGAGCAAAGACTCTCTTTCTGTGTCTCAAAAGGAAGTGAGGAATTTTCTAGCTAGTCATCTAATTCAGGGCGACCATGACTCCTGTGCCTTCCAACACTAGTAAAATTAAAAAAAAAAAAAAAAAAAACTTAGAGACAGGAAAATCAGGCTTGAGTCAGACTACAGAAAGTAAAACACTCCTTCATCTACGAGTAATACAAGATACATAAGGCAGAAAACAAGGAACAAATACCAGGTGAAATAAAATTTTTATATGAGTCAGATAAAATTTAATAAAACAAAATCCATAAACATTCCGGGTACAGCATGAAATTATGCTTCCAGACCTAAAGTACGACTTTTGACTAAGCAATCCTTTATGTTAAGATAGGGGGTAATTGTTAAGATCCAAATTAGTGACCTAAATGTACACAAAGAAGTCAACAAACATAAATTAAAAACAGAAACTAGGGGCTGAGGTTTAGCTGAGTGGTACAAGTACCCACTTGGCAAGCACAAGGTCTCAAGTTCACTCCTCAATACAAAAACAAAACAAAACAAAACAAAACAAAAAACCAGAAAATTATTGATACTGCTATACCAGAGAAAATTGAAATTGAGGTCTGGCATTCAAATTACGGGAGGAGTTTCAGGGAGAGAAAAATCATTTCAGGATGTATGAGGACATTGTCAATGATTACAGAAATAATAGAAGAAAAAGTTTTTCAGCGCTGAAACCTTAAATAAGCTCACCATCTTTAAATCTGCTGTAATGACATAAAATAAAACAAAAATATGTAAAGTTTGAAAATATTTTATAAACCTCTTCCATCATTGAAATAATAAAAAGAAAAATGTAAATTCATGTCCAAAAGTATATATTACCACAAAGAAAAAATAAATCAGGCAAGATGGAATTTAGTATGATGTAATTTATAGATAAAATTAAAAACTTTGTAAACAGGTCAACTACATGGAGAACTTGTAAATTAAAGTGTGCAGCCAAGAAAATTACTGAGAATGTAGCATATATAAATCAAAACATAAAAATATGATAGAAATTTTAAGGCAAAATGACAATGAGAATTATAGGAAAAGAAAAGAAATGATTTTCCAGGAAGCAAAACACTAGATTTCAAATTGTATAGTACAGAGAAAGTGAAGATTGATAAAATATTAAAGAAAAGATTGTCAAATTTTGTTTCCATTGATAATTTTAGCATATACCTCAAGGAAAGAATAAATAGGAAGCAATAAATGCATTAAGGTATGGAATTAAGGAATGAATAAACTATGATTTCATAGATGTCACAACAAGAGTTCCTACTTCTATTTCTCTTCCTCTCTCTTCTACCTTGATTTATATACTCATCCATTCATAAATAGTACACATAGCTAAATGTGTACACATACCTATATACATACATCACATCCTTATAATCTATTGATAGAACATATGCATAGATGAGTATGTATATTTCAGGTATAATTATATTTCAAATATGTGTGTATTTCTAGTTCAAAAACAGAGTAAGTGACATTGCAATAAATGACTAGTGATCTCTATCATACAAGCTACATTTTCTGGGCTATGATAAATCAAACCTGTGAATCAGTAGCGATAAGGGCTAAAATTTTAATGAATTTAGAAAATAAATCAGCACCTTAAATAAACCAAATATTTAGAAAGAATTTATGCTTTAGCATATTATAGGTGAAAATGATGTAGTCACATAGATTCATATTTAAACATGCAGAAAAGCCTGTATAATTCAGTATCTATTATTGATAAAAATATCTAAATGAACAAATTTCCTCCACTTCCCCACTGTTTTAAGCTGAAGAAGGACCATTCTATTCATTCTTTGTACTGAAGTACCAAAGGCATTCTCTTTAAATTTAGGAAAAATGAAATATACTGTTGGTGCTTTTTCCACATTGTTAGGAAGTTTTTTAAGGGTTGCAATTCAATATGAAATAAAAACTTCATAAGGAAGAAATTTTAGAGCTCATATGTAGAGAATGTAATATCAGTTTTAGGTATTCTAGTTATCTGATATTCTGTCCTACTTTTAGGTACTGAACTGATGATTTTAATATAGTATTGTTTAGTTTTTATGGAATTCAGTATATGAATTTTTTGCATATTGAAACATATTGTTATTTAGTGCATTGAAATTTTGAATCAAATAAAGGAATACTCGTAATGACTTGCTATAAATATACCCTTTTAAGCCATTTTAAAAGCATCTCAAATGTTTCCTGTATAAGGGACTCACACAAGTTTCACATCTAAATGGCTCATTCAAAGCTGGCTATGTTCTACCTTACACTCAAGGTTTAAAAAACTGCAAAGGCCTCTGCTCTCAGGGTAACATTGTCTCTGGGCTTTGCTTCATGTGTGTTCTTTGTTTCTGAGAGCTACAGAGTTCTTTTTTTTTTTTTTTTTTTGAGTTTCTCTCTCAACCCACATTTCCATTTCTTCTTGCTGAGACAGTTTTTTATACATTCAAATAAATTTTAAAAAGTCTTAGTCATTTAAGACACAAAATCTGGAAAGACATATAGATTTTCATTCATCCATATTTCCTTTCCTAAAGGAAATAAGCATAAATTATATATATATATATATATATATATATATATATATATATATTCACTTGAATGACATAGGGTTGGGAGCTAAATAAAGGTGGAAGTAGATTAATATCTCAAAATGAAGTCACCTCATAGCAGACACTGTCAGAACTTGTTATATCCTACAGACTCTGCCATTTCAAAGTACTTTGGCCATCTTCCAACTTCTGACCTCATATCTGTGTCTCTGTACCAGAGGGCTTTTCTGGAATCCTGGAAGGTTATACTCAACTATAGCTAGAGGCCAGAACTACTGGAAAATTAACCCCATCACATCCCAGCAGCATGAAATGGTGTTTGAGAATCATCACCTGCCAAATAAGATACCAGCATCATTGAAGGGACTTAAATCAGACTCAGATTCTCATAGTGTAATAATCAAAATGGCCAGGATAGAATCAAAATATATCTGGTACACAGAAGCAGGAAAAATCTTAAGTCTCATGTGACATGGTAACAGATGTTAATATGAAGATAACACAAGTATCAGAATTATGTGATAAACATTAATTGTTTATTATTAAAATTCCTCCCACAGTGAGAGATGAAGATTTTGAAAATAAATGGAATGAAACAAACAATCAGTACAACATTTAGCAGATGTAGAACAGAACAATATGGTAATTGTAGAATGAAGAAGTAAATTAAAAATGACAATTAATTAATCATTGGACTGACAGCAACAGAATGGAGATGGTAAAGGAAATAATGATTTAAATTGAAAATAGACCAATATAAGTTATACAATTTAAATCACAGAGAAAAAAATAAAAAATAAAGACTCAGTATCCTTTGGGGATCTTATCAACAGCCTTAACATTTAAGTTGTTACAAATCTAGAGAAGAAAAGAATGTGTGTGACATAAAATGTTTGATCATTACCAAGTCACCCCAGATAAAACTGCTGAAAAGTAAGAACACAAGAAAAATACCCAAGGTAGTGAGGGCAAAACAATATATTCTTTATCTGGGACAAAATATTTTCTATACACAGTCATTAAGGTAGATAAACCATGTTTTCAGAAAAAAGGAGCATGGTAACAGAAAACATCAGAAATGAAGGGTGCAGAGCTTCAATGGTAAATGAGTAAATATTATAGACACCAAACACTTTAAGAAGTGTGCAGTGAATGAAACCAAAATGTATTAAGTTGTTTGAAAAATTTCATCTACTATAAGTAAGACTATTTCAGTGTGAACTGTAACAGAAAAGGGATTTGTGTAGTGACTGGCTTTCTACACAATGCATTTAGAGGTAAAATCCTGATGTGAAAAAGACTTCAAGTTAAAAATATTCTATTACCTAGAAAAAAAGCTAAAAACATAGAGATATAGCAAAAACGAAATATGTTCTAAAATGTGAAAAGTAGGCCAAATAACAAAAATGCAAAAATAGAAAATTAACAACAAAACTGCAATTTGAAATCCAGACAACTTAATAATTCCACTTAATGTCAATTATTTAAGCATTGCTATCAGAGGATAATATTTTTTTGATTAAAAATATGAACAAGCTGTGGTCTGTTTAAAAATATCTACAAAGGTATCATTATATAGGTAGGTGAGATGGAAAAACATGTAATATAAAAGAATAAAAAAAGGTAAACTGTGAAAGTGGAAGAGTAACATCTCAGTAGCTTTTATATGTAGTTTATTTACAATGATTTGCAGGAAAAATCACAGTCAAAAATTGTGAAGTGAAAATTTCAGGAATGAATAATGAGTCAGTGTTTAAGTAATTTTTATTAAAACTCATTACTAAAATTTTCCACTTTTTTATTATTGTTACTAATTATTATACTGAATTATTAAATTAAACTTCATCAGAAATTGTGTATATAGGAAAACATAGTATATATAGAATTGTATACTATCTTCAGTTTTTAGCATATGCTAGATATAATGTATTTTCTGTAAATTGTGGGAAGGTGTTATTGTATTTAAAAGATAGCTACAGTTCATATATTAATAATTGATATATTGTTTGGAGCAAAGCAAATTACCAAATCTAAAGAGAAATATTCTGTACTAACAAAAAAATAACATCTACAAACAGTTATAGTAATACCAATAGGTATGCACTTACCAATAGTTTCAAAATATATAAAGCAAAACTTGGAATTATGTAGAGAAACAGAAAAACATAAAATACATAATTGAAGACTTTAACATGGATCAATAGTACGGAAAACTAGTCAACAGAAAACCTGCAAGAATATAGAAGAAATGAATGTGTCTACCAACCAGATTTAACCAAATTTTCATAAAACTCCACATAACAGAAAATATAACATTCTTTCTCAAGTGTAAATAGTTAAACATATC